GTGACACTACAGTTAAAATACCTAACTTTTTAAACAGGGCTTGCAGGAGTCTCTAGATTTTTTAAACAATATAGTCCTCACTATCATTTGTTGTGCGAACAAAACTTCATTACTTTTACTGCATTGCCCCAGCACGTGATACCATAGCTAAGACAAGACTGAATGTTACTAAAATAATAAACTTTGAGTGATTCAAGACTGATCCTATCTCGTAGTGGACGATAGTGATGCACTGAGTCGATAGTTTCTTAAAAGGACAATGTCGATATGGTCAGTCCAAGTCAAGTTGGCGTCAAACATAAGACCAAGAAATTTACAATTTTTAGTTTGCTTAATACTTTTGCCATTTATTTTTACAAGAAGGCTTTTATCCTTATTCTTAGTAGAAAATATTGTAAGTTCATCTGCATACTTACTTATTTTTTCGATATTGGGATTCCGATAAACGTTTCGTTTTCCATCTTATGTAATATTTTAATAAATAAAAGTCAAAATTTTAATGAAGAAAAAATGAAAAAGTCTTACCTTTTCGACAAACTTTTTCGTTAAAATACAAGAACTTTTGTTTTTGTATTTATTTTTGCAAACACTTTTCCACTAATTTTATAAAATGAACTAACAATAAAAGGACACTAAGCGAAAACGAACAATTTTAAAATGATGTTATTTTCAAGAGATGTATATAGGCAAAATCATATTCCTGAAATTCAGATCTAGCAAATTCTATTACTACAACTCGTGTTTCATTATTATACCGGGGCACATCAAAAACATAAAGAAAAATTACAAAATTTATAATGACAACAGCCACTGTATTTTAATAAGAATTAGAAAAAAATTGACAACATAAAACCAACAAGATACATCTCTTTTTGCCATATAAAATAAAAGTAATTATTTAGCAGCAACTTTTGGTCTACTCACGTGTTTTAGTCTTATCGCCAAAACAATACTTAGTCAGCCCTCACGTTTATAGTGCTATTAAATCAACAACTTGAAAATTATACCACAAAGAATTTCAACGACGACAATAATGTTACTGTCAATGTCAAATTGACAAATTTACTCGAACATGACATGAAGTACATGAAGTACATATGTAAATTAATGTTCAAGGCTACCATCCTTAGAGACCGTTTAATTGTTTCATTTACATTGTGATAGATTTTTTATTTCACTGTAGGGTGGTAATGAAAAAATTAAATTGATGACGCACCGGTCTACCCTCCTGATTTTTACTTTCCTTGTGAATAGGGACAATAACTGCTTGTTTTAAGATTGAGGGAAAAACGCCGAGTTCGAAAGACTGATTAATTAAATCTAAGAGAGGTTCCAAAATAATGTCCTCAACAAGTTTTATGATAAAACATGAAATACCATCAAAACCGCATGATTTTTTTATACCTACAGAATTAATTATTTCCACTAATTCACAACGTGTTACTGGACGCAAATAAATGGTATTATGAATATTTATTTTGTTTTTTATGTTTACTTGTTTGTTAGCATTGTTGGCTAAATCACTAACAGATTTTATAAAAAATGTACTTATTGAAATAATCAGCAACCTCTTTAGTATCACATGATTTTTTACCTGTAATACTACTGAAATAGTTTGGGTAAGTAAATAATTTTCCAGAGCCACACTCATTTTTTATTATGGCCCATAATAATTCGTAATACTTTCTTCTAGCTAGTTTGATCGAGTTATTATAAATTGTTTTTAAATTTTTTATAACGATTAAAAATTACAATATTATTTGATGTTTTATACAGCCCATACAATTGCCCAACCATTTTACCGATATTTGTGATACTACTGTTCATCCAATTTTTTGATTTTGTATTGGAGTTTTTTTTTTGTTATTATTGAATAGGCTTTATCAAACATAAGGTCCAAGAAGAGTACTATTAATCTCATCACTGGAGCACCACGTTTCTGATATGCACACAATGGTCGGAAAATTCAGTTCTGTAAGTACTTGCAGTAACTCCGACGTTTTTTGCCGCAGGCTTATTAGAATTAATATGACAGATAGAAACCTTTACCATTGTTAGAGTTTTTACTGGAATTTGTTATGGTGTTGGGGCTTTTCTCCGACGTGGATAAAAAAAACGATTCACCAGACACCCATTAGGTCACAAATTTGGGTTTGAGGCCACATTAAGATTAGTGAGATTGATTGTTACTTTAAAAGACGGGTATTGCTCTGGGTGTTTACACGTTACTTCAGGAAGCATACTTTTGAGTTGATTTGTCAAATCCTCGGTGGTAGTTCTTGGATCCAGTCTGGTGACATGTAGATAGGCCATTCTTGGTGTTACTTTTATGCTGCTATCAGCGCCTGTACCAATAATCGCAGATTTTTGACGTTCCATTTTTTTCTTGAGTAGAGGAGCTTTTTTGGGGCGCTCTGTTTTTGGGTTTTTTCTATTTCACTGATGACTTTGTCTTCGTCTTCTTGTTCTCGATTAGGTAGGCTTTTTTATTTGTAACCGACGTCCAATATTCCTTAGGATCGTCTTTTTTTTCTTCCTCCTGAATGTTTATATTTTTTTGAGTTCGAAAAGGCAGTTGCTGTTTTTTTATTCAAACGGAATCATTCGTATTTATTTTATTTTCGACAGCTGGTTTTAAGGTCGGAGTTATCGTAGGTATAGTTTTTGCAGGTAAATTTGGTTTATCGCTTGTTTTAGCTTTATCGTTCACACTGAGTTCCTTATCTTTTTTAAAGTCATTTAACCTATTTAGTAGGTCAATTTGGTTATTCATTAGTTTTATTTTATCCCTAAGTTACTCAATTATAATGTCTTTTTGTTTGATTACATATAGAAACATCTTCGAATCAATACCTATTATATCAGGGAGATCGTCGGGTATATTCGCACGGATTTCTTTCCCTGGTATCTCGCAACACTCGAAGACTGCCACGTCAGTAATCACTCTGTTAACCATTTTTTCTGCACAGCTTGGTTGATATCGATGACCACATTTGATACAAATTACACAGGGCGGGCGACAAAAAAAGTCATGTCGTGACAACTTGACAAATTTTATATCATTTTGTTCGTCTCAGTAGACAAATCAAATGCACTAAAAAAATTATAAAGTCCACACACTTTTCTAATTTAAATGAATTTAAAATAATTTAAAATTTAAACTATTAGGCCGATTTCCTTCAAATAAAGACCATTCTAAAGAGATGGCCTTACCCTTTAAAATGAAATGAAATTTGAAATTGAATATTGGCAAATTTTTCTTTGACAAAATAATCTCAAAAATTTTTACAGATGGAATTTTTTAAACAATTCTTCTTTGGGGCGCAAGTTTTGATACATCCTGTATGTTATTTCAAAAAAAGTGAGTTTATGTGGCTCAGCTAAATATACTAACAAAAAATCTAAAAACAGTAAATAAAAATGCCGGTTGTCATTAAAAAACATAATGACGTGATTACTCAAAACCAATGAAGTCATAAATGTTGGAGTAATAAAATATGTAGCGTTTACAAAAATAAAATCGACCTGTTTAAGGATTTTTTTCAATAATGACCCATAAGAAAAATATCACTTTTGTGCGTTACTTTAGGTTTACCTCTATACTGTATCTATTTTTATTACGCTTTAAAAAGATATGCCTATAGCTTATTCCATATCTGGTGGCGAACTGACAGTGACAGAAAAGACACTTGGAGTGCGCCCACTTGGTTAAGATAAAAAAATACATGGGCGTACTTTTTTTTCTCTAGAAATTTTGAAGACAAGGATTGTTAGGAATATCATTTTTGAAAAGTCTTTTCATGCGTTAACAGTTTAATAATTTGTTCATCATTCTTCATCTTATGTATAAGTACCTACTTATTATTATTTTTTTTAAAGAATAACAGTGGTTTTGAAATATTATTTCATACGACGCCTATGAATAATATTTTTTTTAATAGTAAACATATGTTTAGTGTCAAAATTCAGTTATTTTTGACAACGTCAGTTCGCCACCAGATTTGGAACAAGCTCTACCTAAAGTAAAAAACATAAAAATACTTAAGTAAATTAGTTTTTTTTTAGAATGATAATATTGTTCATAGGCTATCAAATGCGGTCAGTCCTTGCCGAAAGTAGTAAGTATTTTTTTATTGTTTTGAAAACCAAAATAGAATTAATAAACGTTGAATGTAGCTTAAAATTGAGAAAACCTTGGCTCTGAAAAACTATGACTGTTTTTTACACCCTTCTAGAAAATAAATTTTACAAATGTCAGTAATGGACCTCGGGAAAACAAAAGCTCTTGTTTTACATCCGATTTTAAACATTCTCTCGTGCCATCTCATAAGTACTATTATCTACTTAATAATTCCATATACAGGCTGAATATAAAGTATGGAACCAAGCGCTTTTATTTTTAATCATTTGCCGTAATTTTAGAACGAAATTTTGTTTTGTTTTTGAGTTATGCGATTTTTTTGTCAAAATTGCAATTTATGTGAAAATTTTTTTTTGAAAAAATTAAAAATAAAGCAGATAGTTGTAATTCTTAGAGTATAGCTTTTATGAGAAAAATGATTTTATAGTGGGTTGCAATTTAAAAAAATTATTTTTTTTGTAGAACTCAAAAATAAAACGAAATTTCGAAAAATTTTACTCTTGTTAAATCATCACATTTTTATAGTACCTTAGCACTCATCAATTAGTTTTTTCAAAAAATAAATAGTTTAAGCAAAAAACGTTTGGTTCCATACTTTTTATTCACCTGGTATTTTCATAGACTGTACTTCGTAGAACGCAGAAATTACAATTTTTTTAAAATTATTCAGCTGAGCCTCGCGAATAATAACCTTTGATTTGCATGCAAAACAATGTTGCTTTAAAAATATTATAACAATATAACTGCCAAATATCTATAGTAGTAGAAGATTGGCGATGACCTTAGCTTTCTGAAACAATAGAAAAAAAATGTTTATAATGACTTTCATTATTTAAAAATATGATAATTCCCAGGTCGTCGACAATTGCAGTAAAGTGGCCGTAGTTTGTAAATATACTAGGTAGTGGTAACTTATCAGTCAAATTTCAAAGTGCATCAAGATGGCTCTGCTTTTGAAAAAAATGTTTCAAGGATATTTTTGGTTATTTTCTGAAAAACCTGGTAAAATTTAACTACAACAAATCATATTTTCTTATGAATTATTTACAGATCCACGATGTGATGGTTTTTTTCTAATGTCGTCTCCACTACAACCCATTATCATAGGTGTAGGATATTTGTACTTAATTTACAAATTCTTACCGAAATTTATGGAAAAACGACCACCTTTTAAACTAGACAGTGTACTGATCGTGTTCAATTTGATCCAGGTTTTTATAAATGCGTACATATGTTTCTATGTAAGTAGAATATAAAGTCAATACAAATGTTACAGTTTTGTTACAGGCTGGGTTGGAAACTTTGAAACTTAATTGGTTGTGTGCTCCCATTGATTATTCCATAACACCGCATAATATGTTTGTTATGAGACTGGTTTACTTATATTTTTTGACAAAAATTGCAGATCTAATGGATACGGTAATTTGGCTATTTTAAATAAATCTAAAGCCACTAAATATTTTTATAGATATTTTTTCTACTTCGCGGAAAAACCAATCAAGTCTCGTTTCTCCACGTTTACCACCATTTCGGAATGATTGGACTAAGTTGGACTGGAGTTAAATTTATGGGAGGTGGGCATAGTATATTTTTGGGGTTTGTTAACACTTTTGTTCATACTGTTATGTACTTTTATTACTTGTTGACTATCTGGAAGCCAGAATATAAGAGTAATATTTGGTGGAAGAAACACATAACTCATCTACAGCTTGTAAGCTTAATGAATTGGAATTACCTTAACTTTATTTAAATTTTATAGATACAATTTGTTTTCTTTTTGTTTATATATGGACAACTGTTATTTAAACCTGACTGCGCTTATCCGAAAATTGTTTCTTACATGGTGGTGCCTCAGAGTCTATTTATGATTGCACTCTTCAGCGACTTTTATTGGAAAGCTTATATCAGACCAAAGAAAAGTTCAAAACTTGCTGTGAGTTAGGTCTTGATAGTATAATTTTCTATTTCTATAAATTTTTTACAATAAACTTAAAAAAAAACAATTTGGTCTTTTAATTGTTGTTACCTAGTTATCTATTTACGTCTATATTTTGCATTATGCTGAATAATTTTTTATACGGTACAAAGTCCTCAAGTACTCTACATAAGTCGCGTTTTCATTTTGACCTTAATCTTAGTTTATGTCAAATCCGTGTCAGTTACTTTCTAGTAAAACGGCACCAGCTTTAGGTCAATTCACCAATGAATTATATCACAAGTTCATTATCACTATTCCCACTTTCTCTTCTCTTTGCTAAAACCGCACGAGACTTGAGAGATGAGTGTTCCAATGACACACTTTAGTGAATGCTTGTATCAAGTACCGTTCTGCAGTAGGTATACACGCATTCATTTATTTTGTCTGTAAAATAATCTCCTTCTGTTACAAGTAAATAAGTAAAAACGATTTGAACATTCAGTCTATTAGACAGCCGTCATCAACTTATTTATTCTAAAAGAGATAGTCGCGCTGAATTCTATACAATCGGTGAAGTACTTTCTCTGAATCATGAAGCAGGTTACTATGTTTAACGCGTTTGTTTGATTACCTACATCTTAAGGAGGAGATATAGGTACCGTTTAAATATCTAAGCGATATATGACCGATTTCATTTATTTTTTATTTTTCATTGAAAACCAATGTTAGAGGCGACTTTTGAAGCAAAATAATAAATATAAAAACAATTTGCAATATTATATATTAACAACACATTTAGGTTTAATGACATCCGATTTTTTCGCTTACTTTTGTGCGAAATGAAACTCTCTGCAGAAATATTCACAAATATTGGGTAAAATTAGATGTGTGTTGGTGGAGTAAAAGTATATCAAAAAAGCTGAACGGGCGTCTTCATCCGTTCAACTCGGTCAAGCCTATGCTGTTTAGACCTGAGATTGCGGACACATTTTTGAAGTAAGATTTATCTTACATACAAGATTCTGTTCTATTTTTTTAACCTCTTTGTTAATCCACAAAATTTGTATGTTTAAAAATAAATTATTCATCCAGTTTAAAGTCTAATACTAAAGCAATAACAAAAATTAAGAAAAAATTAATATACTTTTCGTAAAAAGAATTCAATTTAAAAATATTGTATATTTTAATTTCGAAAAGTTGTAATAAAATCTTTTAATTTAAATTTTAATAAAAACAATTGAATGGTAACTTAGCTAAGTTAAACACAACGAGTTTCAACCACAAAGTGGTCATCCTCAGGTGAGAATAAAAACTGTTTTACAATTGGTAAAAATCGGTCGCACCGTTCGGCCGCAAAGACCAAAAAGTGGCCGCAAAATTATACGGTTGAAGATACAATAAATTTATGGGCATAAAAATTATTTAGAATCATGAAATATACCTTATTAAACAGTAAAATGTGATGAAGTAAAAATAAAAAATAAAAAATTGCACCCCAGACTCGAACCCGCGACAACTATGATCCATTTCGCGTGTAATCCGGCAGGCGACACTAACGCAAACGTTAGGTTTGCTACTGGGATTTCCAACCTAAATAATTGTCGTAAAGATGTTTTCCAAATAAGTAGGATAAGGAAAGTAATGTAATGTTCATACCAGATTTTTCAAGTATAAAAAGATAACGATAACTGTAAGTTATAATAAATGCATACAATTTTTCCTATCATTTTTGAAAACATCAAATAATAGTAAATAATAAACTGGCCTAATAAAATGCTTTTAGTTGATAATTTTATCATTGTTAGACACAGAACTGCAATAAATATTTATATAATTAGTCTCCATTTTGATTCTCTAAGAAATATACAGGGTGAGTCTTACGCATAAACTTATAGGATATAAGGTTATGACCAACAATAAGTAAAAAAAAATGAAGAGGAAGTTACATAAAACCTTTTTATTTTGTCGATTGTCAATAAAAGTACCATTTAAGCTCACCTAAAGAAGAAAAAAATCGATTCTCTTACTATTGACAAATGTAATGTCGGCATCGTTGTCATTAGTACAAATTATTTAATTTTAATTTTAAAGTCTAATAGTGTTTTTATGTCCGTAACAAAGAAACTTTTACTGGAAATTTTTTTCACTATTAGCTATTATTTGGCATAACCCGTCATACTCTAAAATTATGCCTATACCTAAGTTAAGATTCACAATATATATAATTTCACAAAAAATTTTCTGTTTTAAAATTTTTATGAAAAAAATTAAAATAAAAATGTTTGATGTTTTTATGACATGATAAATATATAAAAAACATACCTACTCTTGTTATACTATTATACAAAATTATGTAAATATGTAAAATAATTTCATAAAAGTTTTTAATAAATTTTTTTGTTTATTTATTTTAGTTTTGTTGGTTTAAATTATAATATATTTTATATAAATATGTATATTTTATATTTACAGATGTAAAGTCCGTTTTTTTAATTTATGCGTGTGGATCAATTAATAATTCGAGACACGCATCTAATCGCTATCTCTTCTCAACATTTGTAAACAGCCTATTTATTTTACTGCAGAGCTAGTGACGTATGTACATCAAAAGTGTGTCTTACCGTCAGATAGGTCATTTGTAATTTTATTTTTAATGAGGAAAACTGTTTTGAGGCTACATTTATAATCTCAAAACTGTTTTGAGGCTATATTTATAATTTCTATATCATCGTAGCAATCGTAATTCAAGCCCTATAAAAAATCCTAATGCCAGGGAGAAGCTTTAATTTTTGACATTAGTACCAAAATGTCAGAAGCCAAAAATAGCCGGAGGTCATATCGCGTTTTTCATTCATACTACCCCCCACCAGCAATCAGCAATTAAAAAAAAAACAAACTGTGCCTACATAATAATTTTAGATAAAGTTGTGTAGTAGATAAAAATAACCGAATTTTTAATTTTTAATTTAATTTTTAATTCTTAAATAAGTAACACCCTCTTGAAGTTCATAAAAAAATCTAATAACAATAGCAAATCTCTCACAGAACAGCAAAAATAATATAGTACCTACATATTTTATGTACGAAATTGAGCCGTTGCACTATGGAAAATGTAATATATTTAGTAATGCAACGAGCATTTAATGATGGCTACTAAGACATGAGTACATGAGTTGTCTTAATAATAGCTATTAAATGCGAGTTGCATACATTATTTTTTCTACGAGCCGACCAGTCAATAAAGAAAATTGTAATTTAGTTTCAAGAATTATTGTCAACACAATAAAGTCTTATTTTTCATTACGAATTTGTGTTTAGTTGCTGACTACTAATACCTACTAATAGACTTTTTTATAGTTTTGACATTATAATAACAGGGCAACAAATAATAGATAACACTGTTTAACACAGTTTATCTTTTTATTAACACAAAATATAATTTCCCTGCGTTTCTTTTGACACGTTATCATCGTATTGTAGATCGTAGGCCCTTGTCTATTTACTTTATTACTTGGGCCGTTTATTGAAAACAGGTCCACCAATAATAAAAAAACGTAAGTGAAAGGAGTGGATATAATCGTATCTTCCGTGTCGCGTTTAACTTTTATATGAAAGCTATTGTAAGCTCTTCGTCTCAGTCGTGAATTAGTGTTTACAAGCAACAGAGCTTAGAAATTATTATTAGTGATAGTGCTGGTTTTGGATACCTATACATTTTTTGTTTTAGAATACAACTAATCCGTAAGTTCTTTTTAAATTATTTCATAAATTTGATGAAGTCATTAAATTATTTGCAACAATTGGATCGCTGAACTCTAACTTGCTGACACTTGGATCATGTTACTTCTTTCAGAAAAAACATTATTGACCTCAAAATAGATTTGTTTGTTAAATGAGACTCAGTCGGTGTTACCTCGCAAATTTAATTAGTATTTTTTTGTAGTTAGCGATGACGTCTTTAATGCACATGGTAGTTGAAAATTACAATGAATTAATGGAATCGAAACGAGGTGAGTATTATATTTTTTATAATCTATCTAATCTCAAATTTTTAGATCCGGTTGTGGACTCGTGGCTTTTTATGTCATCCCCAGTTCCAGTCATAACCATTCTGCTAGTCTATTTATATTTTGTTTTAAAATTAGGGCCCAAATTGATGGAAAAGCGAAAAGCCTTCGATCTGAAGGGGGTTCTCATCGGTTATAACTTGTATCAAGTTCTTTTCAGTACGTGGTTATGCTGTCAAGCAATGACGGTCAAAAGTGCTTTACCTCATCTCCTTAATCACACTTGTCGTAATCCCTCAACTAATAAGGAGTTTCAATTTGCGGTAAATTATTAAAATAAAATAAACGCATCAAGTAACTTTTGTTTTGCCACAGCTAGCTAACGGGGCTTGGTGGTACTTTTTTTCAAAAATTGTGGAGCTCCTAGATACTGTCTTTTTCGTTTTGAGGAAGAAACAATCTCAAGTAACATTTTTGCATGTCTACCACCATTCCTGTACAATGTTCTTTTCGTGGGGATATTTAAAATTTTTACCAGGTGCGTCCTAAAACTATGAAAAATATATGAGTAACTAATGTGACCTAATTTTAGGTGAACAAGGAGTTGTTATTGGACTATTAAATTCTTTCGTTCATGTTGTGATGTACACTTATTATTTAATCGCAGCTTTGGGTCCCAGGTTCCAAAAATATTTGTGGTGGAAAAAATACATGACTTGGATGCAGTTGGTTTGTTTTTCTGTTTTTTTACTAAATTATTCTAAATTTTATTTTTCAGACTCAGTTCTGCATTATGCTGGCTTATTTAATTTCCATAATTGCAATGGACTGCAAGTTACCCAAAGCTTTAACCTTTTTCTTTGTTGCTAATGTTGTCGTGTTTCTTTATTTATTCAGCAATTTTTACAGAAAAGCTTATATCAAACCAAAGAATTCTTTAACTGGTGATGTAAACACTATCAAGAGCCAATAGTGGGATGTTGTAGGTTGTTAAAATTGTAAATATAGTCAGGTTATTTTTATTTATTTTTTAATTACGTTTTAAGTGTTGGGAGTCATTTATTACTCCCTTAAAGAATGACCATTTATTAATGTAAATGTACAAGTATGAACCTTTTTTTTGTTTACGCCAACAAATGAAGTCCTTAAATAAATATATGTATTTAAAAAATGAATACTTTCATTCATACGAAATGAGCAACAAAAAATATTGTATTAGAAAATAAATTGTATGAAGAGATTTTCTGTCTGTTTAAACTTTAAATAACGTACCTATAAGGCACATTTAATTTAATAAAACCACAGGTTTTTTTTCATTTCCTTTTCAATTTTAATAAAATTTTTAATTTTTATGCTATTAAAGGTCAGACTAGATTTATTAATTTTAAGTACCATAACAAGGACAGAATATTGTTATTACATACCAATAATAATTCTTTTAACTACAAATTTAACGATTTAAAGTGATTATGAATACCTAACGTATGTAATAAATGTATACAAAGTGATTACGGTCTTGAAATTGAAATTTAACGGAGATGATGTGCACGGTAAAAGAAAACTAATACACTATTTAAAATTTACGTAATAAAAACTAAATAACTCATTTTATTTATTTGTTTAAGAACTACTGTTTCGACTACAACAATGGTCATTAATATTAACATTGCCTTGAGTGTTTTATCGTAAATCATAATTACGACAACCGATTTATTCTTCTAATATTTGCTATCTACGTTCATAAATTTGAAAAAAAGTCAACAAAAAAACAAATCAAACCTATTGGAAACAATTTCGTTGGAAGTGATTAGACAAAAGATCTAACTAAGGCAAAAGCAAATCAAATGCTTACAGTGTCAAAGTTATGAAGTGACTTTTCTCTTTCATTGTCATGGATACGATTTTTTTATTTGTTACAACAATGTAATACCTATTATCTTAACAAAAGAATAATTCCGGTGACTCGTAAACCTTGTACATACATACCTTGTCGCATTCTTTTATACAGGGTGAGTCTCAACTTATATGCATAATTTTATGGTATGATGGGTTCTGCCAAATAATAACTAATTAAACTAATAATAAAAATATAAATAAATATGTTTAGTTACCGAAATATACCGTGTTAAAAACACTTTAAAATTTTAAATAATTTGCGCTTATGTCAGAAATGATGTCAGTTAAATAATACTTTTTATTGATATTCGACAATTTCTATTCTTGTTACTTATTGTTGATCATAACCTTTCATTCTTTAAGTTTATGCGTATAAGTTAAGACTCACCCTGTAGGTATATCTCTATTAGAGAACCAAAATAAGGGCTAATTACAAAAATTATTGCAGTTTTGTTTCTAACAATGATAAAATTATCAACTAAAAACATTTTACGAGCCCAATATATTATTTACTATTATTTGATAAGTTTTCAAAAGTGATACGAAAACATATGTACACATATTATAATTTACAAGTATCGTTATCTCTTTATACATATGTCTCAAAACAGTTTTGTAGTAGGTATAGATAATTTTGTAACTGATAATTTTTATACACCTAAACAAATTTAAATATCAAATATGGAAATTTTCTTAAATTAAAGTTAAAATTTACGGTTTTTCTTTTGTGTAAGGAAGTTTTGACAACTGTTTGGCATTTCTCAATACAAAACGTCAGATTATTATTTAACAGATTTAAAGCAACTTTAAGCCTTGTTGAGTCTAATTCGAAGAGTAAATTGTTGTATTCAACTCGTCTTCGTGTAAATCGGTTCATGTATTCCACCTCGTGGATGAAAAATACACTCGTGAAATAAAGCGTCCGATTTACACTCAAACTCGTCGAATAAATAACTAGGAGTGTAATTTTAAATTTTAATGCTATTTATGGTTTGTAGCATAAATTTTAAATTGATTTTACTCAAAAACGGAAATTTGTATGGAAAAACGCAAGAGACCTTTTTGGCCTCCTGACATGTAAATGTCAAATTAACGTAAACCTATTGAAAGACTGTATTTCCAGTCGCCTGGGTATTTTACGCACGGACGTGCGTAAAGTGACAGTTTTACCGCACGGCCAAAATTATCTTTATAGATATGTATTATAAAAAAAAAACTGTTAGTAAGATGATAACATTTTTAATAAAACACAACCTTTGAATGATAAAACATCTTTTTCTTCACATCACTTTATAAACACATTGTACTGGGCTTCATACCTTGCTCGCGATTTTTCGGGCAATAGCTCGGTTGAAACATTTTCTGCTGCACTTCTGATTTCTGGTGGGGTACACATGGGGCTATCATCACTCGACATTTTGAAGCATAAAGTCACCACCAAGTCAACGATAACAAAACTTTGTGTCTGAGACGTTTTTGCGTCTTTTTTAATTGTTTGACATTAGAGCGCATAGCCACCGTGATATTTATTGTAAAACGTATTTATTTGTATTAATTCTGAATTTTGTAATTTTGAATTTTTGTTTAAACGTCGGCCAAAAAGTTTAATACAAATCTTGTGCGTTAACCATTTTACAGTGCTCAATTATTAAAGCACTCCGCTGCGCGTCGTGCTCCAAATTCATTTCGCACTGTAAAATTTAAGTTACCGCACACGAATGTAAATAACTATTTTTTTTGTGAGAGACTATGGCATTTAAAATTCGCTGGTGAAAGTGGCAAAAAACTAAGTTAGGGTACTTTTTGCATTATATCCTCCAGTTTTCCTCGCCCCTGATTAAAAATTTCATTGTTTTATCTTTAAATTCCTTTAAGTGTATAAAGGTTATCAGCTGTACCAAATTTTGTAATTTTATCTAAAATGTTTTCTAAAATATTGGAACTAAATTCATTAAAAGACGCACCTTTTTCAAGGGGTGTAGATTCCTTACATTGTATTTTTCAATACAGAGTTGTAACACTTTTGTCTTAAAATTGAATATTTTATCACCTATTTCAATTTGTAACAGTAAAAACGGAAGACCTTGTATAATAGTCCTCAAATTGTTGTTTATAAAGATTTATGATTAATGTTTTTGTGCTCTTGCTTGAAACAAGGCCATCTGAATCAAAAAGCTACGCTTATAAGGCCGTTTCATTCTCCATGATAACTGTTTCTGCAGAGTGGCCATAAAAACAAAAAAGACAGAACCTTATTGTGCACCCTCGGTGGTCGATTAACGAATCAAAGTTACAATATTAAACTAACAGCAGTGCAATTTATAAACATTGGCGGCAATTTAAAATAATACCCTTCAATTTTACAAAGTAATAGTATAAAATGGTAAAAAGCTTGTTTTATTTGTGGGGCAAAAGATGTTCGCTTATTTGAAATTCCGAGCAATAGGTATGCAACGAAAGCAAAAATGGTTCGAAATTTTTGTAATGTTTTGCGATAAGCAAAGCAGACAATGATAAGGACAGCCTTTTACTTTGTAGTTGTAATATTAAAGACACTACAAAAATTGCGAATTACTCAAAAAACAAACAAACCACTTTGCAGAAAAATATTGAAGTTATAAATAATTGTTCTAACTTACCTTATGATTTCATGTTTTTTGCAATTCTAATTTATTAGTATTTTGCTAGTCCAGTATGTATCTAAAATAAGCTCAGATCTTGGATATTTTATAGCATCCATGTTTTAATTGAGACTTTTTAGACTTTTTATTTTTAGGTTAAGTGCTCAAAACGTGACCCACCTATTACATGTATAATAAAACATGTAACATCGCCAGTACAACTTTAGGTAACGTGCATTCAATAAAAAAAAACTAAGAGTGCTTTGACAAATATTTTGCATGTCTTTGATTAATTCACTTCAATAATTAAAACTCATTATAGTGGATGATATTCAGTGGCGGCTCGCAGGGGCGGCGGCATAGGCAGTGTCTAGCGATAAAAATAATCAAAAAATGCCTAAAACAAAATAAAATAGTAAAAATTAAAAAGAAACTAAACTTTATGTGTTATGTGTCAAAGTGCAAAATTTAAACTCTGCCAACTTCGAAATTAATAAAGAAAGAATTTTTTTAACATTTTTTTCCATGTTCCTGGTATCCTGGCATTTTTTCCTGAAGCGCAAGTTTTGGCGCACCTGTATAAAATCGTTACTCGTATGTGTGACTACATATTGTCGTTAACAAGTCGAACGGGCGTATCTCAAGATTCATTGTGAAGTTTTGAAGGTTTCTATTAAATGTTATCCAAGATGTTAGAGATCTTTAAGGAGGTATAGGTATAACCTATAACGAGCACTGTCGACAGAGTTGCGCCACTTCTGAATATCATAGATTATGTCTTTAAAGAAACGGTTAATAATTATTGGTTGCATACACTGTGCCTATTTTAAAACTTGCAATCGGCAATATCTTTCAATTGAAAAAGTTATTGAGCAACACTCAAAACCGTTTCGGTGGTTCCTAGGGGGAATCAAAATGACATGGCAAGTGACGCTTTTTTGAAATTTCCTATTCAAAAATCGATAACTCTACCCTTTTTTAGTATTTGGAAATCGTATTTGGGCATTGAAAAAAAAAGTTACGTTTTTTACGCTTTTTTCCCCACATAACCACTACCTAATATTTTTCTGAGAGTTTTTTAATTTTCTTCTGAAGACGATAAAATTGAAAATCAGGAATGTTGTGAAACTCTAGTTTGATCCTCAAAAACGCATTTGACAGTTTTTCCGAAAACCGCTCTGAATCGGTATCTAAACCCTTCAGATAAACCCTTTTTTTAACGCGCGCGCAATTACACCCCTCTTTTAACAAGGGTTCCAAAAATAATAAAATACAGAAAGCAAAAAATAGATGACAATAAACTGTGTAATTTTGTTCTAAAAACTATGGTATTGTATTTTTAAAAATAATATCGAGCGATCAAGATAATTTTTTGTAATCGAATCATCCGAGAACGTATGTCTCTTTTTGAATGAAACGTCAAATAAAATGACAAGTCGAAAACTAAAACATCAAAATGGTCTGGAATTAGTCGTCGACGTATAATAATACGAGTAGGACTGTTCTTTCTTGAAGGTAAATAAAAAATTTGGTTATAAAATATCATGTTTTTGATCATGCCATTTTACTTTTCGAATTGTCATTTTATTTGGCGTTTTACAATGTAGGTATCTAACATTACTGTCAGTGGTCAATACTTCTATAATGTGACGAGAATTCATCTTTAATTAATTTTTATTGAGAATTTGTATAAACGTACATAAAAATTATATCAACACCTAAAA